ATCAAATGAAAACCACTCCAATTTGTAAATTCGTAAAAACTACTCTCATCTATCATTAATCTTATGAAATTTTTTCATGAAATTGTCAATCTTGTGAAATTGTTTCATATAGTACTTTTTTTTGATGAAGTTGTTTCATATGTGGTTATGAAATTGTTTCATATGCTACTTAATGAAATTTTAATGAAACTGTTTCATGTATTTCTCTAAAATTAAAATAATGAAGATGATAATATCCATGATTAACACGCTCCACAATAAAATGGTTAATCAACCTCTCATAATTACAAAAAAATGAACAAAATGAAAAATTATGATTGGTTAATGAGGTTTTCACGGTTTTTACAAATTGAGTGRTTTTTATTTGAACCCACCCCTATATATATATAAAGAATTGTTTATGTTAATATGTGTAAGGAATAAATTAGCAGATATAGATGTATTTAAGAGTATATAGGGGTGCATTTAGCCTACCTGTATATGCATCATCAAACCATATAGGTTAAGGTCATACGGTGACACAAGTCGTTTCATAACTTCATTGTATTGGAAAAAAAAATACATTTCTGAACGGTGTCTTTGTAATGGTTTCGTTGTGTGTTGCTATTTTCAAAAACTATATGTATAATCAAAACTCATTTTTTATATTTTTAATCCATATAACTTGGGATATTTTATGGGTTAGGTTGATTAGGTTGAAGGCATTTGAACAACCCAACTCAATGTTTGCTATTAAAAAATCTCAACCCAGACCAAACTGCAATTCAACCCAAAATATTCTCTTATGTTGGTCAGGTTGATACTTTGGTACATCAAAATATTCTCTTATGTTTGTTATCTTAAATACGGTGTTTTCTCTACTTATAATTTCTTTTTCATCATTAATCATATGATACAACGTATCCATACTCCTTAGTATATCATATTCAACTAATTTTCTCAATTTGCACATATATGTTCATATTTATTGAACATATATACGAATGAGTGATATAGATATGGATAAGAGATTGAAAATATATATCCATGAAGAGAGTATGCGATGGTGTAATTGTCTAATTTACATATTAATATAAACTTAATCATCATAGTAAATCCAATAAATAAAAGAATATTAGGTTCATCGGGTTGAGTTGGATTCAATTGACCATAATTCAATACCTACGGTTTGATATTTTTTAACTCAATTAGATATCGGATTGCTTCAGATTAAAGGGTTGTTTGGCAGTTGCTGAATGGTTAAGTGGCTAGAATAATTCTCATAATATAGTGCAAAATGAATTATACTTGTTTACAATGAAATTAGGATGCTAAATAGTTAAGAGATGTCCAGGATACAAAATCATTCCGAGAGTTTTAGAACCATTAAGAGGTAGATTTTTTTTTGCTAAACAAGATTCACAACTTAACGATTCAGATGTTGCCTTTTAATGAAACTATTAAGAGGTAAACAAACAACCCACAAGTTATTTCGCTTTTGATTGATAGGATTAGTCGGCTATAAATTCAAATAATTCTTGAGTTAAATAACCATTTCCTTCATTCAAATTGGCCTCTTAATCATTGTTTTTCCGGGTTGACCCAAATGTCACTGATATTGCGGACCTAACTAAAGACCAAAAATTCAACACAGATATGCAATGGCGACAGCCAGATCCTCAATTGTGACGGTAAAACTAGTTGATTTTGGCAACTGCGGACTTGATTATTACGGATGTAATGACATTTGAATCAACACAGGAGAGAAATGGTTATTTGAGCTAATTTTTCAAATTTAAATTTTATAATTAAATATAATGAGTTAATAAGAAAAACAAATATAAATTGCAGAAAGAAGTGGAGCATGACGATTAGATGGTAAGCAACAGTGAGAAGAACAGTAAATTCCATACCCTTCAACAGTGATTAACAAAGGCTACTAGAATACACCCATCCCTCCCCACTGTGTTTAAAAGGCTAAGTGGTTCGATCGGTAGGTCAATAAAATCTGGATGCACCTCTAGCCTCAGCCTTAGGGTTAGGGTTAGGGTTAGGGTTAGGCCTCTCAAACCCACCAGCCAATCATCATGGAACACAATTCCGTTTGTAGTAAACTCTAGTGATTCGAATTCAATCATCATATCTAGGGAAATTAAGAGGGCGGTGAACTCACCTTTTAGACCGCAAGTGAATTGGTTCACAAAATTATTTTAACTTTTAATGCTCTAAAGTTATATGGTGATAATTTTGTGATTATGAATGTTTAGATTGTAAATCTAATTTAAGGGTTGAGAATCGGTTTTATGAATCTCACAAAAAATCTTTAGTCTCAAATGATCTCAAATGTGTGTGTATATATATATATATATATATA